AGGAGGAGGAGGAGGAGGAGGAGAAGAAGAAGAAGAAGAAGAAGAAGAAGAAGAAGAAGAAGAAGAAGAAGAAGAAGAAGAAGAAGAAGAAGAAGAAGAAGAAGAAGAAGAAGAAGAAGAAGAAGAAGAAGAAGAAGAAGAAGAAGTAGTAGTAGTAGTAGTAGTAGTAGTAATAGTAGTAGTAGTAATAGTAGTGTTTGGGGGGCTGCAGGCAGCTGGTGGACTGACCACCCCTGGCAGGACATCATCCTACATTATCCTTTAATTTATGTACTCCCCCTCACCCACCATGCACTTAGCCATCCATCAGCACCTGTCACCAGGGAGGGAGCCCGCAACACATGGCAGCATATTGAATTGCATCGTGATCTGCCAAGATCTCCTTTTGTGTATTTAAAAAAGGAAACGAAAGGAAAAGATGGGCGGGGAAGAGAGGGGGTGGTGGAATCATGTTAAACCAGTTTAACGGGACTGCAAGCATGAAAAAAAGAAATGACAGCTTAAGATCCCTATTTCTTTTAGAATTAATTAACCTCCCATGGATGACTTTAGAAAGCTCCATAGATGTTCCTGAGCCAAGGTGCTCATTCTCTCTCTCTCTCCACCTCTCCCACACCCTCTCCCTCTCTCTTTTTCTCTCCCTCTCTGCCTCTTTCTTTCATTCTGCCTCTTCTCTTTCTCTCCATCTCCATCTTTCTCTCTCCCTCTCTGCCTTTCTTTCATTCTGCCTCTTTCTTTCCATCTCCCTTTCTCTCTCCCTCTTTGCCTCTTTCATTCTGCCTTTCTCTCCATCTCCCTCTATCCCTGCCTTTCTTTCGTTGTCTCTTTCTCTCCATCTCCCTCTCCCTTTCTTTCATTCTGCCTCTCTCCATCTCCCTCTCTCCCTTTCTGCCCCCTTTATCTCTCCCTCTCTCTGCCCTTTCTCTTTCTCTCTCCCTCTCTGCCTTTCTTTCATTCTGCCTCTTTCTCTCCCTCTCCCTCTCCCTTTCTCTCTCCCTCTGCCTTTCTTTCATTCTGCCTTTCTCTCCCTCTCCCTCTCTGCCCTTTCTCTCTCCCTCTCTTTCTCTTTCTCTCTCCCTTTCTCTGTCTCTCTCTCTCCCCCCCCCCCCCCCTGTGTCATGTGTGTATGTGTGTGTATTTATTAACACCAGTGGGGGAGGGACTCCTCAACCGACAGTCCTTCCGAGATCAAAACAATAATCAGCTAAATGAATTCTGCAGCATTTTCCCGCATGACCAGGAGTGATAATTTAGTGCAGCAGCCAGCTGGAAGAAAAGGGGATTAATTCTGCACTTACCGACACCCCTGTGAATAATTCATCACATGAAGCCCCTCTCCCAAGTGCTTCCTCAGACAGTCCAGGCCAAACTGTGTGTGTGGGGGGGGGGCCTGCTCTGGATGAAAAGAGCAATGGAATTAACCAGCCAGATTTAAGTCTGGCCCAAGTTAGGAAGGAGGAACGCTGAAGCATCACTGCTTCCTGCAATTAGTAGATGGATCACCACCAGTATGCACCTGTGGCTCCTCCTTACATCCAATTGGCTGAATCTTCAAAAATTCTCCTGGTCCACTTGAGGATCTCCAGCAGGTAACCATCCTCACAGCCTGGCTCCAGAACTCAGCTCAGAAACATAATTTTGGAGCAATGACTTGATTCTTCCTTGGTTCCCAGGAGCTTCCGTTGTCTGTGTGGGTTGGTGTGAAGGGCAGCGTTTCTAGGCAAGATCCACCCCTTTTGATATGAATGATGATGTTGCGTGCACCCATGAAAGAGGTTGAATTTGGTCTGCTTGGGTCATCTTGAAGAACACTTCAATTGTTCCATCAGGTCCTGTTGTTCGCGGATCCACGGTTGGCTGCCAAATGATTGTGTTTTCTTCCTCTAACTCAGTGTTTCTCAACCTTGACAATTTTAAGGCATGTGGACTTCAACTTCCAGAATTCCACAGCCAGCAATGCTGGCTGTGGAATTCTGGGAGTTGAAGTCCACATGCCTTAAAATTGTCAAGGTTGAGAAACACTGCGCTAACTTTTCCTTTTCCCTTTCTTATTTCCGCCCCCATCCTTCACAATGTAATTTAGCCCCGGCGAGCTGAAGCCGAAGTCCCTAGCTAGGAATGGCTCTCAACCTCTGTTGTTTCAAGACCGCCAGCCTGTGGAGAGGAGAGAGGAAAGGCAGCCAGGAGGTGCTTTCCAAGGCCATGTCAAACATCATCTATATTCATGAAATGGATTCAGGAGGCACCGATCTCTAGTGGAGTCAGCTGCCCAGCCACCTGGGGTTTCTAATGCTTTTACGGCGCTTGGGTAGAATCACAAGGAGGAGAAGGAAGGAAGCTTAATTCAATCCAGCCACAGACCAGGAGACAGGCAGAGGTCTAGCGAGATGGTAGGTTCAAAACAGCAAAAAGATTAGGGACATCGTGTTGCATCTGTTGGGCTTTACCTCCGCAAGAGTGCATCTTTAGACAAATGCCACATTTGCATAGCTTTCGTATGCCGAGCGGCCCTGCACGAGCCTGGAAATGCATCGATTTTTGAACAGGCGCGATTCCAGCGCACTAGTTGAATATGAATTATTTTGCTCCGGAGAAGAATTGAATTCAAAGCACGGCTAGGTTTAGATGCTAGGAAACTTGTTGCGTTATTCCCTTTTCTCCCAGCACCATCCTGTCTCTCTCTTTCCTGGCTGAGTCCTCAAAACTGATGTGACGAGGGTCAAACGAGATGGGGTAGTTTGTGATTCGGCCTATTGGGGTGACCCACTCGTAGCATTAACAAGAATTGGGCTGTCCCAGTAAGTCAGAGATGTCAAACGCAAGGCCCGGGGGCTGGATGCGGCCCGCGAAGTGGTTTCACGTGGCCCGCGAAGCCATCCTGGAAACAGTGAGAGAACGGCCCCCGCTGCCTTGGCCCTGGCCCAGGCCGGTCAGGAGCCAATGTACAATTTTGTGGTGGCCATCTATGCTGAAACGCATTCAGTGTTAGCTCCACAAGGCCGTCTAGAAACAGCGAGGAACCAGCCCTTGCCGCATCGCCCCTGCCCCCTGGGTGCATGCTGGGGAGGTATCACCCTTTGTGAGGAATGAAGAAATGCACCATCGCCTGGAAGTGGCCAGCAAATGGCCCTGGCCTACTTCACATATCCGGCTTGATAGGCTCTGCCCTGGTCCCACCCCTTTCTGCCAGAGACCCTCAGATCTGTCCCACTCCTGCCCAGGCCCCCACAGGCACCCTTGACGCGAACGATGTAGAGCTGGCCACACCCACCCAGTAGGCCACACCCACTCCATCCACGCCCACCCTGTAGGTCGCACCCCCCCAGCCCCCCCAAGGGCAACCGCAATGCTGATGCTGCCCTCAATGAAATTGAGTTTGACACTCCTGCAGTAAATGATAAAATGGTTTATTTCATAATGTGAATATAGCTAAAGTGTTTTCTTAACTTAGAGTTTAGTGTGTTGTGGGAACTCTCTCTCTCTTACCTCTTACCTTTCTCCATACCCCTATTTTTCTGAGATACATGAAACTAGGATGAGAACTATACATTTTTCCAGTCCCGTATGGATTATGGCCACTTAGCCCAAGGATTGACTGCAGCCTAGACATTTGACATTTTGGTAGGAAGCTACCAGGTCATTGTAAACTGCTGCTTCCTAACCTTACCTCTGAATTGATCAACTGAAGGCCAAGTTGGACAGTTGGGAGCCCACCAGACGTGGTTCTCATAGTGGTATCCTGGGGAAATAATAGGCAAAAGGCAAAATCAATTAACCCAATCCGTACAGTATGTAGAATTCATTGTTCACGTTTCCTTGGAAGAATTCTAAAGCCTTAATAAAACTGATCGTGCAAGTTTCCTTCTTAACATTGAAGAATTGCTTGGCTGGGGTAGATTAAAGGGCCAGCTAACTTAAGATGTGTTTTCTAAAAAAGGAGACATTCAAAAAATTTGCAAAAAGCATGGGGGAACAAGGACACATCTCTGTTTATCTTCACAGAGTGGTCATCAAAAGTCTGGGAGAACTTCATTTGGTCATCAAGAGTTTCATTCATTCGCTGACTTATTCCAAGAAATAAGCTGAACCCTCTTCCATGACATAACCATGTCATTTAAATTGACAGTTTAAGAATGAACCAATACCAGATTTCAAACTGAGGAACAAGATCCACTGATGAGCGGGGCCATTGATCTTTGGAAAATAACTGTTCTCCACCTTCCAAGGTTAGATTGGCATCAACCCGGCTGGGTTTAAGAGTGCAGTTATGACTTGGCTGTTTTAAAAGGTCTTTGGGGAAAAGTACGATGGCCGTTTCTACAGTAGTTTTTCCTCTTTCTGGAATGTTGCTGTTTGGCAAGGTACAACAACATCTTTATTATTTTGTGCTGCATTTCTTGTTTTCATCTTTTTATGGTAACTGGAGGACTAAGCTGCTTAGAGTCAGATCACGACTGACGTGGCTCATTAAAATACAGCCAATCAATCAGTTAATCCATCAGTCAATGAGTCATCGAAACTAGAGAATCCCCTGGGAATACTAACATAAAACACCCCTTTTGAGTGAAGTAATTCTATCTTGGTTTAGCTTTCTAAGCCAGCTAGAGCTGTCCTATCCATCCCACATTTCAAGCCAGAAAGAAGCTATTGCTACACAATCAGTAAAATTGGAAGAAACTCAACAAATATTACATCTGGCAACAAGTGAGGATTGAAATCTGCAGCTAGACTGCCTCTCCTGCCTAGAATTCCAATGGCTTCTGTTTATAGCAAAGGTCATTTTTAAAGGACCTCGTAGAGTTTCTGGCTCAATCTGGCTCGCGTTGAGAATGAGAGTCATTCCATGAGTTTCCATGTGTGAAGGAGGACTTTGACTCAGGTTTTCCTGATTCCAAGTCAGCAACTGAAGCTTAATTGCAAACAGAACTGGAGACTTTTCTTAAAAGTCTGGACAGCCACCTGTCTGAAATGGTATAGGACAGTGTTTCTCAACCTTGACAATTTTAAGGCATGTGGACTTCAACTCCCAGAATTCCACAGCCAGCATTGCTGGCTGTAGAATTCTGGGAGTTGAAGTCCACATGCCTTAAAATTGTCAAGGTTGAGAAACACTGATATAGGGTCTCCTGCTTGAACAGGAGGTTGGACTAGGAAACCTCCAAGGTCCCTTCCAACTCTGATATTCTATGTTCTAGAACAGTGTTTTCCAATCTGGGCAACTTTGAGATGTCTGGACTTCAATCTCCAGAATTCCCCAACCCACATGGCTTTTGCTAAGAATTCTGAGAGTTGAAGTCCATACATCTCAAAATTGGCCCAGGGGGAAGAGAAACACTGGAGCACAAATGTGATGGAATTCACCCATTAAAGAAAAAACCCAACATTATTCCAATACAATCTGATTCATCCATTCCTACCTGGATAGGTAGATTTTCTACCCGAATTCCACTTCGGCTACTATCTGCTGCAAGCTTTCGGTAAACTCGGTTGGTCAGTGGCAGCACGGAGTAGCCTAAATACGGAGATGTGCCTTCCATATCTTCTCCTGGTGCTGACAGTGTTGGAGAAGAATAAAGAATGGATTAACACCTCCTTACTTCATAGTGGAAGATGAAAGATCAATTAACTCCTGCTGTTCCTCTTCTCTCTGCTTTCAGAATCCCAATTCTTCCCACGCGGACTTCATTCTGGGTTTTAAAGTTGGGATTGAATGTGTGGTTTCTACATTGAACCAATGTCTGGGGATGTTGGACTAGGAGTGGACCTATGATGAATGTTCAAGAATTAGTCTTAAACACCTGAATGTTCTGGAGACATTTGCATCCAAATGGACCCTTAGATGTTAACAACGAGGCTTGTTAACAAACTGTCGGGTCCTTTGTGGTTTCTGAGCTTGGTTGTTTTCCTGAAGACAATTCATGATCCAACTAGGTAGCAACATCAGTGTTACAAGGGAATGGGTTTGTTTATTTCTTCATTTTTAACAATATCCCAATCAAGGAACTACCAACTCAGACAAACAATCCTACAGTAAACAACAGCCTATCAAGACCAAGACCAATACTAACAGGGCATGCCACTAGTCCAGTGGTGGCAAACCTATGGCACAGGTGCCAGAGGCGGCACTCAGAGCCCTCTCTATGGGCATGCGCCGTTGCCCCAGTCCTAGGCCTTCAGCTGGGTTTTATAAACCCTTTTTGCTTTAGGCCTCCGCCACTGTGTGCAAAAAAAAAAAAAAAGGTTCAATCAATCGATTTCAACTTCTCACGGGAAAAAAAAAAGACCTTGCAAAGTTGGAATTGATTGATTGAACTTTTTAGTCCCACCCAGTCTGCCGTTACCACCGCAGCCACGCCCACCCAATGGGCCAGACACCCCAATTGGCCACACCCAGCCAATGGGCCACACCCACCTGGCACCCGATGATGCATAAGTGGGTTTTAGGTTGCAGTTTGGGCACTCGGTCTCTAAAAGGTTCACCATCACTGCACTAGTCTATAAACAGAGAGCAAACCCCACTGCCTACCAGCGCTGATGATGTTACCTAGTTGGGTCATGAAACGTCCTGAAGAAACAACCACGCTCAGAAACCACCAAGGGCCCCACAGTTCAACCCTGAGCTACAAATATTCTTTTCCATCTTGTTAACTAAGCCTGAACTGGTTATCTAGCTACAAGAGAGTCTTCTATTAGCTCTGGGCCCTATTTTGGATGCTACCATGCCTTACGATATGGTTCTTATGACGGCCTATGGTCTGGGAAGAGTTGGCAAGCTTCTTGATCTCATTCCCCTCTCTTAGAAAGAAGATGTCAGGTCCCTGTTAGACAGCACACCCTGCGACTTACTCGATTTATAGTATTCAATTAGCAAGGCCGTATCATCTGAGAAAGCAGTAGCACCATCCCTTCCTTGAAACAGGAAGGAGGTATTCCACATGGGCTGTTCAGGAGGTCCACCGAGTGAAGAAACCTGAGGATTGGAGAAAAGATAGGATGAAAGCTCAAGAGGCACCTCGGATGATGAACATCGACGTTGAACCAAGTTAATAAACTGCTTGGCTGAGTTCACACAGCAAAGACCGCAAGTCTTTCTAATAGCCTGCTGAAAAGGCAATAAAAAATAAACAGGCAATAAAACGGAGGAAAGCTTCACGTATTACACAGCATAACAATTTCGCCATAAAATTTAATTGCGCAGGAAGCCAGAGGTAACATATTTGCAGAATATCCCAGTTTTCAGATTCCATACAGATGACTCCAAGAAAGCGCAGGAGGACCGTGGTGGAGTAGATCCAAAGTCTAACAAATCAAGCCTTCTCTTTCTTCCGTTCATCAGATGTCTCCAAATGTCCCACCCTCAAACCCCACCAGAAGGAAGTGGGACATCAAGGACCACCTTCTGTTTTTGCTCCTTAATAAGAAGAGACATTGTGCTTCGTCAGCTCAGGATTTTCCTTTGACCCCTGAACCTAATGCAGGTAGGCCATCCCTTTAGGGACTGTTCATTATTTTAGATTTCATTTGATCTCCATATTTTATAGGAACTGATCTAATTTGCACATTGTGGATCAGAAGGCTGTCATCCTTCAACATTTCCTGTCCTACAACTGGAAAAATGTAGTTATTATCCAAAGAAATGTCCATGAAAAGAAGGTTGAGGTACAAACGTGTAGATTAGGAAAATTTGCATTGTTGTGTATTCTTTTTTCTTTTCTTTTCACAGCAAGATGCTGAAACCTGATTGAACTGACTTCAAAATGAGCATACTCCAATCTGAAATGGGCCAAATATTGATTAAACGATACGTCCCCAGCCATCAAACTAAATATATTAGAAAAGCAAGCATACAGACAATTAGCAAATGAAGCATGCATGCTCTTCCCTCTCCCTCAAACGAGACAGAAGAGAGATATTCTTGCTTACATTCGTATCCACACATACTAACCCAAAAGCTGTGGTTCACACAACATGCTTAACAAAGGCCGATATAAAGCCTGGGGTTGCATGCACAAGACCTGCTACTCTTGGTTACTACTGAACTGTTTTGTTCATCTTTCTCTACCAGGAGGTTGGTTTGTGATTCCTTGTGTGACACAAACCCAGATAATGGGTTAATCAAATCATGTATATTGATTAAACATAGTCTGTCCCTCTTCCTCCTTCCCTCTTTTCCTCCCTCCTTCCTTCCACCCCCCCCCCTCTCTCTCTCTCTCTCTCTCCTGGTCTCTCTCTCTCTCTCTCTCTCTCACACACACACACACACACACACATTTACAACCCAAATTTTTCCTAGGCAAAACACCAAAGAAACATCATTATTTATTCATGTAATAGTAGCATTTATATACCTCCGGCCCCCATGAGGACTTCCAGTGATTTACAAAAGGCTGGGACATAAAATCCATGCAATCATGGCCCTTGATGATTAAGTCACACGCTCACCCCAAAGGTTACCCTCTTTCACTCGCTCTCTTTCTCTCCCTCCCAATTCCCAGGGCAGCCTGGAAGGGAGACATCTCGCTCCGATGTCTTCTGACGACTTTAATACCGTTGAACTGTTGAGGTCAATGCTGCAAAACTCAAGTAACGGCTGACTAATCTGGAACTTCGCTCCTACTGGGTGAGTTTCTGCTATTGTTCCGATGATAGAAAAGATTATGGAGGCCAAGGGGGCCACTGAGCAATATTCTAACCGTTGCACCACCATCGTAGTTAGTGAAAGGGAGACGCCGACAAATGAAAGATCTGGAGTTTAGGGGATATACATAGAGGTAGTCCTTGACTTACAACATTTCATTTAATGACAGTTCAGAGTTACAACGGCACTGAAAAAAGCAACTTATTACCGTTTTTCACAGCTACTTTTGCATCATCCCCAGGGTCATGGGATCAAAATTCACATGTTTGGCAACCGGTTCATGTTTATGATGGTTGCAGTGTCCCGGGGTCATGCAATCCCACTTAGCAACTGTCTTACTAACTGAACATCTGCAGTGATTCCCGTAACAGCTGTGGCAAGGAAAGGTCATAAAATGGGGCAAAAGTCACTTAACGTGTCTCCCTTAACAACAGAAATTTGGGGCTCAGTTGTGGCCAAAGGTTGAGGACTACCCACAAATGAAAAATTCAGCAGAGGAGAGCCATTAGTAAGGGCAAACAAATATTCCCATGTTCAACTCAGTAGATCTTCACTGTTTTTCCTGATGCAACCTAGAACGTTCAAGAGAGTTCCAACCTAGAACTAAGGAGGAATTTCCCGTCAGTGAGGACAATCAATCAGTCTCCAGAAGTTGTGTGTGCTCCATCACTGGAGGTTTTCAAGAAAAGACTGGACAGCCATTTTTCCAGAATGGAATAGGGCCTCCTGCCATGAGCAGGGAGTTGGACTAGAGAACCTCCAAGATCCCTTCCAACTCTGTTATTCTATGCCAGGGGTAGGCAACCTTGGCTCTTTTATGACTCGTGGACTTCAACTCCCAGAATTCCTGAGCCAGCCATGTTGAGGAGAAAGGGAGAGGTTTCCAAGCTGAGCCATGCTGGCTCAGGAATTCTGGGAGTTGAAGTCCACCAGTCATAAAAGAGCCAAGGTGGCCTACCTCTGGCTTATACCCTGTGTTTGCCCGAAAATAAGACCGGGTCATATATTAATTTTTGCTCCAAAAGATGCATTAGGGCAGGGGTCTTCAAACTTGGCCCTTTTATGACTCGTGGACTTCAACTCCCAGAATTCCTGAGCCAGCCATGCTGAGGGAAAAGGGAGAGGTTTCCAAACTGAGCCATGCTGGCTCAGGAATTCTGGGAGTTGAAGTCCACAAGTCATGAAGGGTCCATAGTTCCCCCATGCTGGCTCAGGAATTCTGGGAGTTGAAGTCCAGGAGTCTTAAAGTTGCCAAGGTTAAGGACCCCTAATATAGGGCAGGGGTAGGCAACCTTGGCTCTTTTATGACTTGTGGACTTCAACTCCCAGAATTCCTGAGCCAGCCATGCTGAGGGAAAAGGGAGAGGTTTCCAAGCTGAGCCATGCTGGCTCAGGAATTCTGGGAGTTGAAGTCCACCAGTCATAAAAGAGCCAAGGTGGCCTACCCCTGCATGCTCTACCCAATGGAATCTTGGTGAGAAATGGTGTCTCAGGATTTCATCAGCACATATACTAGACAACTCATGAACCCACTGAGTCATCATTTCAGAGACATTTCTCCAAAGAGAAGGAGACTGTATTGCAATGTTTCTCAACCTGGGCAACTTGAAGATGGGTGGATTTCAACCTCCAGAATTTTCCAGCAACTGTACAAGGTTGTGTGGGTGGGTGAACGTACAGGCTTCCTTCTGCTTTTTTTTTTTTTTTTTGCAACCCTTTGCTTGCCTGAGGACAGACAAGCTGGTGGCATTTCACTCTGTCACGGATGGACGCCTCAAACTGGGATTTGAATGGGTTCCCGTGTAGATTTTGCTCAGATAAATGTGGCAATCGGGTGACTGATCAGGGGAGTAATGAAAGGAATCGCTGTACAGAAACGGATACAGCTCAGCACAGGCGCCCAAGGGTTAAACAACTGAGCAAGCAGGACAGGGGGAGGCAGAAAGATTGTGTGTGGGTTGGGGTTGGGGGTGGGAGAGAGAGAGGGAGAATGAGAGAGAGAGAGAGAGAGAGTGCAGACGTGATAGTTCAATTCCCCCTGAGGATTAATTTGTAATTCAATTGCTAAGTGCAGTCCTGATGCCCAGAAAGTGTAATTTACGGTATGTAAAGCAAACCACTTGGGTGGGGTGGGCTTAACCCCACCGCACGTGTCTCTGCCTCCTCTACACCAAAGGCTTCTTGCTGCTTTGAAGGCTGATATTGGGAGCTTTTAGAAATTGTGGCTTTTCAGGGGCATTTCCATCCCCCCATTTGGGGTGATTCCAACTCTAATGAAGAGATCAGGGCCCCCCTCACAATTAGAAAATATATATGAATAAACCATACGAAGAACGGTTCCAGGAATTGGGTATGTCTAGTCTAGTGAAAAGAAGGACTCTCTCTCTCTCTCTCTCTCTCTCTCTCTCTCTCTCTCTCTCTCTCTCTCTCTCTCT